TCCGGGGTTTGAGTGTTATTTATTTTTTTTTTATTTTTATTTATTTATTTATTAGTGGTCGACAAAACGAGTGTCTTCCTAATTATTTAATGCATCATATATACAATTATGAAAATTAAATGCTAAAAGCCTAGTTAGAGAACACAAATTTCTAATTGCACCACCGACCGATGGAGGTGTTTTATTTGCCAGTCCGGCCAGCTGTGCCCCTTTTCACAGCTAATTTTGTCAGTGACGCTATTAGAGCCTACATCTAAGAAGAAGGGTGTAAGTAGGAAAAAGTGTTCTTAAGTAAAATTAAAAATAATTTTCATTTGCTATACTATTTAAGAATATACCATAAATAGGAGAAAAGAAAGAAAGAAGATTGTTAATAAAGTAAAGAACTGTATGCTTGATATACAGAGTGTTAAGTAGATAGGCTAAAGAGATAGTAATGGGAAAGTAATGGGAAATCACCGACCCGGTGGGGGAAAATTTACGGCCTGTCCGGCAAGCTATGCCCCTGCTCATAGCTGGGAATGGTCAGTGACTTGCCGAAGGTATCCTGAAAGCAACGAATTTATTAGGGGTAGAGAAAGTTCGGTAGAAAAAACGTGATGCGAACTATTGTAATTTTTACATAGCACGCGAAAAGGATTGTGCATAGCGTAGTCTGTTGTGCACGTCGAAAGGAATAAGAGGCGATAATTTTTGGTTGGTTTAGCCGGAACAGAGAATTGAAGAATTTCTGCCCTAGCAGAAAAGGAGAATCTATATCGCCAACAACAAACTTATGTAGAAAGACAACACCGAGAATTGTCCTACGGTTGGTTACCGACAAAAGATTAAGATGAAGCAGCCTGCTGGAATAGGATGGCAACCGAAGATTAGGGTCCCCATTTAAACCTCGTAAGGCCAAAAGCAGAAATTGCTTCTGAACAGATTCAATACGATCCTGGCTATTGTTATACTGCGGAGACCAGATGCAAGAGCAATATTCAAGGATAGGACGAACAAGAGAGATGCACAGAAGTTTCGTTCTAAAAGGATCGTTAAACTCTTTAGACCATCGTTTAATGAATCCAAATACGCCTTTTGCCTCAGTAAACATGGTATCTATGTGAAGATTGAAGCAGAGTTTAGAATCAAAAAGAACGCCTAGATCCTTAACTGTTAGTATACGTTGCAATGGAGTATTGTCGATTGTATAACTGACAAGATAAGGTGTATTACGATTAAATGTCATAAACATACACTTTGAACAATTCAGATGCAATTGATTGGCCGAACACCAAAGTTGCATAGCGTTCAAATTGTCTTGAAGACGAGAATGATGTAGGGGATTAGTGTATGATAGAATAAGTTTCACGTCGTCCGCATACATGAGTACACGGGCATGGGATATAACAGAGGGGAGATCATTTATAAAAAGAGTAAAGAATAAAGGTCCAAGATGACTACCTTGAGGAACACCAGAAGTAACGTGAACCTGTTTTGAGGTAGTCAGCCTCAGCATTACTCTTTAGGTCCTACCTTTTAAATAAGAACTAATCCAAAGCAAAAGAGACGGAGGGAAACCTATTCGGTCAAGTTTAAAAAGTAAAATGTCATGGTGCACAGAGTCAAACGCCTTACTGAAGTCAGTGTAAATGACATCAGTTTGCATTTTCGAAAGGAAAGCATCATTTACCAAGGAAGTAAACTCAAGCAAATTGGTCGTAGTTGACCGATTCTTTAAGAATCCATGTTGAACAGGGGAACAAAACTGATTTGCAGAAATGCAGCAAATTCGAAGTGATTATTTTTTCAAATAATTTAGGAATAGCGGACAGTTTTGCAATGCCCCTGTAATTTTGAATATCAGACTTTCCACATTTCTTGTGGAGAGGAATGATTTAAGATTCTTTCCAAAGAGATGGAAATACAGAAGATTCAAGGGATAGATTAAAAAGCTTTAGCAATGGATAAACAAGGGAAGAACTACACTCCTTGAGCAGACAACTAGGAATATTGTCAGGCCCAGGAGAGAATGAAGATTTTAAAGAATTTTAAGCTAAAAGGAGAGAGGAATGGGAAATAATAGGAGGAGGTATAGAACTAGAGGAAGTAATAGTATAAGGGTAAGAATAATTATTAGGACAGACTAAAGAGTAAGTTGATTGAAAAAAATTAGCAAAGAGGTTAGCAGAATCAGAGTCATTGCTAGCTTTATCCATCCCGAGAGAAAAAGAAGATGGCAAACTTGAAGATTTACGCTTCAAGTTTACAAAATTGTAAAACTGTCTCGGATTTAGGGCAAATCGCCTTTTGCAACGAGAAAGATAATTCTCATAGCATTGAGAATTCAGAAGAAAGAAGTTCGACTTGGCTATGGAATATTTAGCCAAGTCTGTACACGAACCAGACTTATTAAACTTTCTAAAATATTTAGATTTTATATTTTTTAGATTTGATAATCTGGAAGTAAACCAAGGTAGCTTTGAAGAAGTATTCGAAGTAATTGACTTGGGAATACACATATCTAAGAGGGAGTTTAGGGTGTTATAAAAAAAGTTAATAGCAGTATTCATGTCAACCGAGTCATATAAGAAAGACCAGTCGGTTGCATAAATAAGCTGATTCAGCAATGAATAATTTCCTCTGCGAAAGCAACGGCGGGGCTTATTGGCTGATGAGCACGAAATGAGAGGATTACAATTGAACATTGCAACCTCTAAAGTAGGATGATATACATCCTCAGGGAGAGATAAAGGAGGGGACCTAGACACATTAGAAATACGCACGTGTGAAGGAACTTCTTTAATACAAGAAATATGTTTCATATAAACTTGAATATCAGAAGAAGGAGGAACATAAGAGCATGTAATATAAATATCCCGTGTAGGAAAAGACACCTTGACTGAGACAATCTCAGCGTCAGTAGGCGTACTAAAACAGAAAAGTTCTGACTGGAGAGTGGCTTTAACGGCAATACCCCACCACCCCGACTCGGCCGATCATTTCTATGCAAAATAAAATTATTCGAAAAAACCTCAAAATCAGATATGGTTGAATTTAACCATGTTTCTGAAAATGCGATTATATCCGAATCGAAAGAAGCGCTGGACATGAAAAGATTTTTAAGTTTTGAAATAAGACCTCTGACATTCTGATAGTGAATAAAGACTTGGTCAGAAGAAGAAGTATGTTTTTTGGGGTAGACATGGTACCCTCTACTGAAGGGACTGGAAGGTGACAGGCTGGTTACGCTTTTTTGGCTTGAACTCGTGAACAATCATGTGTGGAGGCCAAAATTTGGGATCACAAATGATTGGGAACATATCATGCGAAACATTTATTTAGAATGATGATATTTCACGAATAGTGGAGAAATTAAATTTGGTAATTGACTCACTATCAGAAGATTTGCTAGCATTGTAAGCTGCCAATCACTCAGAGGTGGTGTCAGACGAAAGTCGAGACACAAAAACTTGCCTACGAGGGGCAACAACAGTTAAAGTAGGAGCTGAAGGGGCTGCAGGTAAACGAGGATTTGGTGGGGCCAAGGAGGATAGTTTTTTGTAAAGTAAAAGTAATTTTGACGACTTGACGATTTTAATTTTAATATTTTGAGGGGATTTAAGTTTATTTAAAGGCAACGTTTAAGAAGCTTTATCATAATGAAACGATTTATTAGTATAAATAAAAACAAGTAAGAGGTTCTAGTCGGGAGCTCCCGACTAGGGGATACCCTGAACCCTCTTCTTCCAACACCAAATACAGCTCGCGCTACGAGCTCGTTAGTTTGTTTTTAGTAGTAATAAAGAAAAATTAATACAAAAAAAATGTTCCTTTGGCAGGGTTCGAACTGGCAACTAACCGCACCACTTGCCGCCACCTCTTCTCAAAAGCCACACCAATAATTGAGTTTTAATGAGAAAAAAGCCAATTAAAATAGCAGCACAGAAAACAATACAATCGCAATTGCAATGCTGTTGATTGAATTCAAAGCAGACTCGCATGAATGTGTGTGTGTACATGTATACCAAAATTCTTGGAATTTGCGCTAGCTGATGCTAACACGTGCGCACATAACTTTTGTGTTTCTCAACCGATCTTAATGAGATTTTGGACAGTACATCTTATGGTAGAATAGAATATAGAATATTTGTGTATTCTGATTTGTATTATCAATTGCATTAATTGTGGCATAAATTAGTGGGCAATACAAGTTGGTTTATTAACTTTATTTAATGCTTTATAGTGGTAAAGGGGAGGTGGCGATAGCTATAAAATTCCAGATACTTGATATATATATATACTATTCTAGAAGCTACATTTCAAGGTTGGCGACTCTAGCTCTTTGTTGCATTTGACGTTATCGGCAGCATCGATGGTTTGCTTAGTTGGTTGCGTGCGATATTATCGGCCACGCCGATATCTTTTTGTCATAGGGTCAGAGTTTCGGGGGTGAAGCTGGGCCCACAGCGGAGCCCAATTTATTTAAGGGTGGCAACGCCACGCTTGCGATCCACGGCGCAAAAAGGGGCGATTGCTATTGGCCACCCGTTTCGATCTTGAAGAGATTATAAGGAGAGCGGATCGCCTGCCCTTGAATATGCCCTTGGCCTTCATTTGGGCCGTTTACCCAAAAAAAAGGCAGCTGTGCAGATAAAATTTACTAGAAAAGTTTTCCGCAAATAAAAATTTAAATTAATGAACATTGTCTCAAAACATTTAATTTTCTCTAATTCGGCGGCCGCAAATCAAAAGAAAAGAAACTTGTGTCGTGCGCCTAAATTTATTCATACAATTAATGCTCAGAAGATAATATAACCAAAGGAAAACCAAAAGGAAAACAAAAAGGAATGGCCCTTACCGCCCCCACCCAGAGAGCTCTTTAGGCAGGCAAGGTATTATAAGCACTTTTGACAAACATAACACTTCCTTTTTTCGTGTAGCACATATATATATATACATACTTATATACGCATATCAGCATTTCAGCGGGTACTTGCTCCCCATTGGTGCAATAATTACCTGATGTTTATTTCTTTCCCCTCGTTCTTTTTTTTTCTTTTGTTGACGGGCAATTACCTTGCAGTGTTTCGTCGCCTGTTCCATTTAATGTTGTTAAAGTAAATAACACATATTCTGTAATATAAATTGAAATTTTAGAAATTAATACACGTTGTCCATAATCACAAGTACATGCAACAATTATACGCACCTGGTACAGAAATGTTCACGTGCATGATAATGTGAATAACTGAATGGAGATACCTTGATAAATAGATAGAAATAAGAAACATTAATTGTTAATAATCATAAGAAATGCAACCAATTATACGCACATATTGAAGAGAGAAATGTCCGGCTAAGTCTCACTTAATGGGAAGAGGGGGCATAACAGCCGAAACGGGCTGATGCAGGCCATCTAGTGGCCAAAATGAGGGAGACGAGATCAGGTGATCGTCTCAGGTAGGGCGGGTACGCTGGGTCCGGAACTGGGACCCAATCTGGAACAGTAAAGTGGATGAATAGTGTTTTTTTGTTAATTTATATTGAGCGTCTCACCTTTGTTGCTTACACTTTCTTATTGCTACAGCTGCTAGTGTTGTTCATTTGTTGGAAGTTCTGACTGTTTGTTGTTATCGATTATGTGGTTCATTTTGAATAGTGTTGTATAGGTAAGTTTTGCTACAGACGTTGTATCTTTGTTGATATCGATTGTGCGGACTGCGGGCCGGGGATGGGACTACACCCAGAGAAACCGATGAGCCAGCCGGCGCGGCCCACTAAATAACAAGCAGTTCCGTAACAGGGTATCCACTAGTCGGGAGCTCCCGACTAGAACCTCTTACTTGTTAAAGATTCAATTTGTTCGTTTAATTGATTTAAAATGTCAAGCTCTGTTTCTGGGGTTTGAGTGTTATGGTAATTATGATTACTTGACGATTTTAATTTTAATATTTTGAGGGGATTTAAGTTTATTAAAGGGCAACGTTTAAGAAGCTTTATCATAATAAAACTAAATATTAGTATAAATAAAAGCATATAAGAGGTTCTAGTCGGCAGCTCCCGACTAAGGGATACCCTGAACCCTCTTCTTCCAACACCAAATACAGCTCGCGCTACGAGCTCGTTAGTTTGTTTTTAGTAGTAATAAAGAAAAATTAATACAAACAAAAAATGTTCCGTTGGCAGGGTTCGAACTGGCAACTAACCGCACCACTTGCCGCCACCTCTACTCAAGAGCCACACCAATAATTGAGTTTTAATGAGAAAAAAGCCAATTAAAATAGCAGCACAGAAAACAATACAATCGCAATTGCAATGCTGTTGATTGAATTCCAAGCAAACGCGCATGAATGTGTGTGTGTACATGTATATAGAAATTCTTGGAATTTGCGCTAGCTGATGCTAATACGTGCGCACATAACTTTTGTGTTTCTTAACCGATCTTAATGACATTTTCGACAGTACATCTTATTGTACCATAGAATATTTTTGTATTCTCAAAAAGTCAATTGCATATAAATTGTGGCTTAAATTGATGGGCTATACAAGTTGGATTATTAACTTGATTTATAAAATTGTGGTGGCAGCGGGGAGGTGACGATAGGTATAAAATGAAAGATACTTGATATATATGTCGGAACTGAGAAATCACTTTCTTTGCAATTAGGCATACTGGCAGCACAGCAAGTCCCGAGTGTCGTTATAGTCACAAAATAATTATATTTTTAGGAGCGAGCACGTCTGTTCTCTATGACTTCCACTTTTAGAATGAATAATTTTCATCGTCCTCGAGCATACTACTCATGCTCTTGTCATTCTATATTCTTCTCTGACTTTTAGTACTGTTAGTGAACATTCAACACTATAGCAAACTGAACGTTATACAACACACTCGGGCCATGCTCGGCAGAGACTATCTTTTTTGTCTCACACCATGCTTTCAGTAGCAACCCTAATACAAGTAGGACAGTTATGTTAAATAGCAGTACCTTCTGTCAAATTCTCTGATTCTTACTAACACTTAATCGTTAGCATTCAAAATAATACTCACAATAATTTATTGGATACACGACACGGCCTTCCTGACATTTCACACGTCCTCGTGTGTACATTTCGCTTAGATCATGCCATAGTCAAAATTGTTGGGTAAAATTTATTAGTCATTACTTTACTTTAAAAATAGCTTTACAAACAGCAGTATCATCGGTCATTGTAGGTTTTATTTTTATTTTTTTTTTTTTTTTTTTTTTGTTGTTCTGTCATCACACGTCTATAGGCTCTTGCTGCCCAGCAACGATAACATGGAGCGGATCCATACAGGTCTTTCAACCTCTGACCCCCGCCATAATATCACCCGCTTCAGCACGCCATGATCGAGCACTTGTGCACGGCGTGAGTATTATGGTGCGGTCTTAGCCATCGTGTATGAGCCCAACCGCACTCTCTCTAGTGCCACAGTGTCTTGAGCAATGTCCTCAACATTGTCACACTCATCATCTCTGAAATCTATCAACTCCTCCGACACATTGTTGCTTGGAAAAGCTCGCAAATACTCATGCGCATACTTAAACGTGCGCTTACTCGTCAATGACTTTAATAAATATCTGTCTCCATCAAGTATTTCGATTATCTCAAAAGGTCCCTTAAACTTGGGATCTAACTTCGTTTGATTTCGTTCTTCCCTCTTGAGTAGGACATGATCACCAAGCTTATATTTTACAATTTTTGCTTTATTTTTATCAAACCTAGCCTTATCATATTTAGCGTTATTCACTATGTTGTCTTTCGCTTGTGCTCTTATTAAATCTTTATCAATTGTTTTTTCATCTGACATTGTTATCATTCCTAACGGCCTTGCCTCTTTACCGATTAGCAATTCTAATGGACTATATTTCGTTACACGATTTGTCGTGCAATTTATTGCCAGCTGTATGTCCTTTAAAGCGTCTTGCCAGGATCGCTGACTACTCTCAACCGCTGTGAGCATGCTCTTCAAGGTGCTCATGACACGCTCTACTTGGCCGTTTGCTCGACTGGCGCCCGTCGCAATCAGGTGTAAACCTATCTTCTGCGAAGAACAAAATTCCCTAAACCTTGTGCTAGCAAAACATCTACCCTGATCAGCTATGATGCGTGCCGGCACTCCGAATAGTGCAACAGTTTCTTTGACTGCCTTAATGCAGTTTTCCGTATTAAGGTTCAGCGTATGTTGAAGGTGAACAAATTTTGTGAACGCATCAACTTGAACTATGATGTACTCTTTTAAGTCGTTTTTGCCACTTAATTTTCCGGTTATATCAATATGCACAGTGTGCCAGGGTATGTCATCTTTAGGAATCGGGTGCATTTCTATTTGTGGTTTACCAGATGGTGGTTTTGACACTCTACAGGTAATGCAATTTTCTACAAACTTTTTCACATACTTAGACATCTTCTCGAACCAGTAGTTGGCATACATTTTGTCTAGAGTTTTCTTCCACCCTAAATGCATTATGGCTTCGTGAACATTGTTAATGACTGACCATCTAAAGGCTCTAGGTATTACAGGCAAACATTTTGTGCTGCCATTTCTTTGAATCCTTCGATATAATACTCCTGCTCTCAATTCGTACGACGCTGAGATAGCTTCTCCCATCTCATCGTTTCGCAATTTTAAGGTTATGGAAGCAATGTCAGAATCTCGTTTCTGTTCGGCTAGAAGCCAATCGTCGGTTATCTCAGCTAGGTTTATGCGCATTTCAACCGTTTTCGCTGAGGATTTATAATCAGTCGGCAACGGATTGCGCGAGAAAAAATCAGCATGTAACATGCGTTCTCCCTTCCTGTATTCAATGCTGAAATCAAATGATTGCAGATATGCCCACCATCGATGTACCCTTGGGGTAAGGTCAATTTTTTTGATACTTGCTTTCAGGGAGTTGCAATCTGTATGCACAATAAATTTTTGACCATGTAAATAATGGCGGAAGTGTCTTACTGCGTTGTAAACTGCGAGGGTCTCAAGCTCGTATGAATGATATTTTGCTTCAGCCATTGTCGTACATTTGCTGTAATATTCAATGACTCTGGGTCTATTTTCTATCTTGTGCATTAAAATAGCACCATATCCAATAGAACTTGCGTCTGTATGTAATTCAATTGGCTTTAGTGGATCGAAAATTGTCAAAACGGAGTCATTAGTCAAAATTGATACTATTTTTTGACGAATTTCCTCATATTCCGGCTTCCAGACAAATTTATTATTTTTGGAGGTGAGATTATATAAAGCTTTCATCTGCTCAGAAAATTTTGGTACGAATTGCCTAAAATACGAGGCTAGGCCTATGAATTGTCGCACCTGCGTTACGGACTGCGGTGACGGCAATTCGGCCAACGCTTGTATCTTGCGTGGATTTGGTCGAATTTGACCCGCTTCAACCAAGTATCCTAAATATTCTATGCTTGTTTTCAAGAACGAGCATTTTGTAATGTTAAATGAGAATCCAGCTCTAGACAAGTTTTCCAAGACCGTTTGTAGCCTTTCAAGTGCCTCTTCCTTTGTCTTCGCTAGAATTAACACGTCATCTATATAGACGATGGCATACGTTTGAGCCAAATCACCCAATGCTCTCACGATTGCGCGCTGGAAAATCGAGGAAGCATTTTTTAATCCAAAAGGCATGGCCAAAAATTCATACTGTCCTTCTGGCGTGACAAAAGCAGTGCGCTCGATAGAGTCTGGGTGTATTGGGACTTGGTAAAAACCACTTGCCATGTCTAAACTGGAGAAATATTTGCCTTCACTCAGTCTATTAATTTGATCAGAAATCAAAGGCAGCGGATATTTGTCAGCGACCGTATTAGCATTCAGTTCCCGATAATCGACACATAGTCGATCGGTTCCATTTTTCTTTCTTACCATCAGCATTGGGCTTGCAAATGGAGAGCAACTAGGACGTATAACGTTTGCGTCTAACAATTCTTTTACTTTATTTCGCACGACTTCTTTTTCTTCTATGCTTAACCTATACGGACGCCTTTGTACAGTTTTATTTGGGTCAAGCAGGCGGATTTCAAGTTCACCCGTGGTCACTCGCGTTTGAGGAATACCCTCAATAAATTTATCAGCATAGTTTTGCAATAATTCTAGCAGACGATTCTTATCAGTGTTGCTTAATGCTCTATCATTATTCAGATGCTCTACGTAACTTATATCTGGCACTTTTATTAGTACATCAACAGTTTTGGTTTTGTACATTTCAAATTTGTCGGCCTCGATGGAGACTCCAAAGCCTAATCCGAGTATATCACGGCCTATCAATACATCGTATTTCAAAAACTTATCCATTATTACATGAAATAATATTTCTAAGGAGTACTGATCAATTTTGACAGTAGCCAAGATTTGCATGGTGCTATACACAGGATTTTCTCCAATACCCCTCAAAACTATCAAATTATTAATTCTTTTTCCGGAAAATTTCTCGGCACAACTCTCTCTGATGAGCGTACATTCAGCTCCAGAGTCAAAACAAAATGGAACGAGCTCACCAGATTGACGCAGGATTCCTCTTGGCTCGGACACACAACAGATGTTTATACGCTTCTCATGTGATCCAACACCGCTCGTAGAAA